ATACATGGATAACACAAAGGAATTTTCCCGAGGTGAAAGTTTCTCGTGATTATAATAATAATTACGCAACATTTTCGGCGTATAATTGTATCGAAATGAAGTGGATAATACCTATAATTTATATCTCGTTTTCGGGATTTACTTACACGTATGGTGAATCGAAAATAATTTTATTCGACTGTTCAAATGAAGTACACGTGCATGAAATTGATATTTTTAATTTTCTAATAGTCAATAGGAAACAAGTGGGTGAGTATTTATCACGAACTGTTCACGATCTTATGTTTATTTTGAGTAAAATAATGTTTTATATTTTATGATATATATACATAAATCTTCAAATTTTTCTTGTTATTTCTTAGCAAAAAATAGGGAAATTAAGTAGAATTCTTTTCAATTGAAGTAGAAATAATTTCTCAGTAAATATGAATAAAGATATATCACAGCTTAACAGCTTAACAATTGCTTTTAACTGCAGGATATTATCGCGTCAATTATGATTCACAAACTTGGCAAAAGATCGTAGCACTCTTAAACTACAATGATTTTACACTAATTGATGTTGTGAATCGCGCTCAGTTAATTGATGATGCGTATTATTTTGTGATAAATGATAAACTCGAGGTTTCTACGTTCACACGTCTAATTAAATATTTAAAGAGAGAAAGGCATTATGTAGCCTGGTATCCTATGTTCAATATTTTAATGTACATGTCGAAGTATTTTGAGTTACCACAAAGTGCAAATAAGGCAAGTTATAAAACATTCTTTCAGATATATAAATCAACTAGTATCTTGTATGTATCCTCTTTTGAATATATCGAGTGATTTTGGAATATAATATGCTCGTCAACAAAATTATCTCATAGATAAACTCATATCAAAATTTTGCACAACTTTAAATGGGGATAATACCGCAAAACATTATCGTATTTAAAATATTTTTTTATTTTAAAAAGTAAAGTCTGTACTTCAAGGAACATTTATCAGACTTTGAATTTATTCTCTACCCGTCTCGCCGTCTTTTTAAAAGTAAACACGTGTTTCGTCTCCAAACAAATTGCACAATTTGATGTATTCTACGGGATAGAATACATTCTTTTCCGTAAATTTCATGATAATGATCGCAAAATATAGATTTCCCACTGCAATTTAAAAAATAGCGGATATGTACAATTTTTTTCGCGGAGTTGGGCATATCAAAATTACATGTGCATTTTGTTTAAGTCACTTAATTTGATGCACTCTACTGAGTGGAATAAATTTCTTTCACATATCTTATGACAATTATCGTAAAATATTAACATTTTGTTGCAAATAAAAAAATAAAGAAAAGGTGTACGCGACTTTCGCAATGTTGTACGATGTATAACAATGTTAGTTATGCATTATTAACTAGTTACCAGTGATCAATGCACGTACCCACACACGCACATACATATATACATGATTCCGACCAGTAACTTCCCATTGTGCGCATAGGTTAATGTTAATGCTGACGATAACTGTTTAAAAATACGTAGGTATTTCTGATACTCCGTACAACATCGCGGAATAAAATATCGTGCATTTCTTCTTTATTTTTAATTTGCAAAGAAATGTTGATATTTTACTATGATTGCCGTAAGATTTATAAAAAAAATTCTTTCCAATCAGTAGATTGCAGCAAATTAAGCCACTTAAAGAAATGCACAAGTACCCGAGTAAAAATATATCTAATAGAGCAGATTTCAAGACTAGTAGCTAGATAGTAATGACTAGATAAGTTTTCTAGCTAGTCACCAGCTCGTGACTGGCTAAACATTCCTACTCAGTCTTTTGAATGTCAGGAGTATCTAGTGACTATACCAATTATATAGATAGTAGCTAAATGAAAAAGGTTACAAGAAGACAGTAACGAGATAGAAAATTATCAATAAATCCTGAATAGAAATTAGATATTATTACTGTTTAGTAACTGTACCAATTATAGTTACAAGTTACTTTTTTGTATCCAGCTACTAGATAATTTTTTTGGTACAGCCACTAAGAGAATTGAGCGTTACATTCCTAGCTAGTAGCAATGTAAGACCCAATTTTTCTGTGTCATTACTAGACATCAACTAGATTCAATTTTTGTTCGGGTAATTTTGATATGTCGCAACTCTACGAAAAAAATTGTACAAATACGCTATTTTTTTAAACTGCAGTAAAAAATCTATATTTTACAATGGTTATCATGAAATTTACGAAAATGAATATATTCCACCGTGTAGGATACGTCAAATAGTGCAATTTTTTGTGCAACACGTCGCTACTTTTGAAAAGACGGTGGGAATGGGAGAGAATAAATTCAAAATCTGCCAAATGCTCCTTGAAGTAGACTTTATTTAAAAAGAAGTGATTTTAAATACATAACATTTCGAAGTATTACGCTCATTTAAAATTGTGTGAAATTTCAACATGAATTTATGTATGCAATAATTTTGTTGAAGAGTATATATTATCTAAATGGTACGTAATTGGTACAAAATAATTTCCCCATATGCGACCAATGCATCTAAATATGTTATGTCATTACAAATGGCGATCAATTTAAAATTCATGTTTTTTATTAGACGCAGTCGTATATAGAAATATTGAATGGTCTTCTTGAGGAAGTTGGGTATGAAGAAAATATTAACGAGGACGATATGACAAAATCTTTAAGATTATTAGGGTTAAAGTGGGCTTGTAAATTTGGTCATGAACCATGCAAGGGAGCTGCTATGATTAAACTGACATTTTTCATCGAAAATTCTTTAAAGTGTGTGCATTTCACTTTACAATTAGCTGTAACTTGAATAACTTTTTCTGCATCTTGCATGCTATATCATAATATTAGTTTGGAGAAAACATGCTTTTAAATGAGGAATTTTAACATGCTTTTAAATGAGGTGTTTATATTTCTGTTATATATGTCACAGAATTCTACCGTGGTGGAAGGAATGGGTATTTTGTGCAGGTATGATGGTAGCAGATTTACAGATATGGCGTCAGTTTTTAGATAAAAACTCTGGCATCTATAGTCAGGAGCATCTAACGTATTTGGCATGTTCTGAAAATGAATTTGCGCTCCTTTCTTATTTGGAATTTTTATGGAAATTAAAACATGAGGAATTAATGATATCAAACCGCATTAGTACAGATCCAGAGAAGTCATATGAGATTATTATGGCAGCATATCGTTTTTTTGTAAAGAAACATGCAAGGAAGTATGCTGTGCTGAGGCATATCTTACAGAATTATTATACATTACCGTCAACGTAATATTTCTTTCATGTGTATACGCAGTTTATGATGGAATTCTATTTTAGGATTAATAAATTTGATCTTTTTTTTTACAGTATTTTGGGCAGTAAGTCTTCAGTTGCAGTATTGGGTGTCACTATAATGGAATTATATTCCGAGAATAATTTTATACAGGTAAAATTTCTTGATCTTATAGTTACTTCTTTCCGGTATTGTATTAATATATTCTCTAATTAATATTGATTACTGTGTTTCCACACCAATTACAACTGCGAGTTTACATTACTTATGTACATCGAAATTGTTTCCTTTAGGTGAGAGAATTTGTAAAATCAAGTGGAAATTTAACAGAGGGAGAGAAAGATAAAATTGAAATTTTCATTAAGCAACGAAAGATACAATTAGAGAAAATATCCTACTATTTCCGCATATTTGAGAAAGGAGAAAATTAAATTCGTTTATATGATTAGATATTACTGTCAATAAATAAATTAGTGACATATCGAAGAATTGATATAATTGTAATATTGATTGAGTAATAATCGATATTATATATTAGCATCTAGTATAATCATCTGCTATTATATGCTAATTATATATATATATATATATATATATATATATATATATATATATATATATATTATAATATATATATATATATATATATGAATAAATATATATATATATATTTTATATATATATATATAATATTATATATTACTAATAATATTAAATACAATCTAATAATAAATTTTGTATTTAATATGATAATAGCGAGATGTTTGCTTAATTTATTATATTGATACAATATAATATACTGAATCATAAATAGTAAATAATTGCTTGATGATATATCTTGAAATCTTGAAATTTACTAATATGAACTTATATATATTTCTACATTCTTGTATTTATAAATATGTATTACATTATTTCATGGAAAGCTAAATAAACGTTTTTATTACGATGTTCATTGAAATTAATTTGTTGTTTTTATCCACTTTTGTAAAGTACAATAATTGTCAATGAGGTCGCAAGTAACTGCTAAGTTGTGTTTTTGAAATAATTTTTTTAAGTATATAACTGGCTGAGTGCAATTTTTATATGAATGCAATAAATTATGACTTTGCAGATTGTAGAAGAAAGCAAATTTTAAAGATTACAAAGGTTTCCGTACAGTGATAGTCGTATGAAAGATGTAAACATTATAATGATAAATTTTTTCATTTGCATTAATTCATTGCACACATATACTCATACCCTCGACTTTCTTTTCTCTCCTATAACAGTTAACTTGTATGATATATTGTGTAATAGATATTTTGCAAGTTTTGGTAACAAATAATTATAAATAGTTATAAAAGGGAATATCGATATTATATTTAAGAACATCATTCTAACTTGTGCAAAAAATTTCCAAACTCTTCTGCGTAGAACGCAAAATTTTTGTAGAAATTTTAAAAAAATATAAGGCAATGTAGCATATTTCCCAATAGAGATGTGTGTATACGCTCGTATGCGTTTGCGCGTAAATACTGAAATTTATAAATAATTTTAAATTGAAACTTAGCACCTGTTCACAGTATACTTATATCTATATGTATAACTAAATACAAACGATATTTACGTGAGATACTGATGATTTGAACTGGATAGCCTATACTTCTTATATATAACAATAATACGTACTAGAGTTACTATGAGTTAGAAATAATGCGGCGAAAGTATAAGATACGGCAATCGCAAGTACGCAGAGGATTATCCACAAGTAAGAAATCCTGAATCATAAAATTTTCTCTTAAATTTTAAATGTGCTTTACAGATTTTCTTCAATGTACACACTTGTAAGTTTTAGTTCTACAGGGTGTCCCGAATCTCCATGATGACCCTTAGTGAGAACGTAGAACGGATTGAGGTGAGCAAGAAAGTCCTGTGCCGTTTTGCGATATTCGCAATAATAGTCGAGATATTAATTAAAAAAGATTGGTGAATGATCACGCGCGATATAGTAGATGAGCTACAGTGGGGCCGTCTGCCGTTGTATACTTATATATTAAGTCAAACTGAACAAAAAAGTCCTCTACCATTTTGCAAATGACTACATAGATTTTTAAATATTAAAGAAAATTGTTACATTTGATTGTATACCATAATGCATAAATTTTCTTTAATTAATATCTAAAAATCTATATGGTAATTTACAAAATAGTAAAGGACTTTTTTATTCAGTTTGATTTAATATATAAGTATGCAACGGCAGACAGCGCCACTGCAGCCATCTACCATATTGCGCGTGATCATTCACCAATCTTTTTTAATTAATATCCGGACTATTATCGCGAATATTGCAAAACGGCACAGAACTTTCTTGCTCACTTCAATCGGTTCTACGTTCTCACCAAAGGTCATTATGGAGGTTTGGGACACCCTGTATATTATTCCGATTTTATTCGATATAATCTAATAGATTTTCTATTTAATATAATAATAAGGATGTGTTTGTTAGCTTTTATTATAATGATTCAATATTATACTAATCATTAATAATTGCTTGATAATTCATGTTGATATTTTGTAATAAGATTGTAATATGCTATATTCAACATATTTTAATAAAAAAATAGTTTTAACCGTTCAAGTATTTATTCAGATCATTTATCTCTGTATGCGTCACAACTATCGTAGCAGTTTGGTTATTTTAATTTAGATATTTATATTCGTATATTAGAATAAAGTTTTACTGTTGGCGGCATAAAAAAAATATATGTAGTCAACCAGAATTAATTATAGTCACTCAAAATTAATGATGTGTACTTCCAACTTGGTTATTTTAAAGTGCATAGTATCGGTATCTCCTGTTTGCAAATATATATACATATATCGATCACTGTATTTAACTACTTGATGTAAAACAAGTAGGTATCACAATATATCTATTAGAAAGAAGTTAATATTTTTCTGATTTCGTTTTTTATCTGTCCTTAATTTGAAATCATCCATCGAAACAGTAAGTAGTAGAACAATTTTAATTATATAGACGAATAATTGATTTTTTATTTAATGTATATATGATTCAGATAGATATGAAATACTATAATAATGTTGAAGATTTTCTTAGAAATATTGGAATCTGGAAAAATATATGATATACTAGGGGAGACATATTGTTAATATAACAAATCTTTCGACAGAGTATTTAAGAACAACATTCTAATTTGTATACGAAATTTCAAAATTCTTCTGCGTAAGATGTAGAATTTGTGTAGAAATTTTAAGAAAATACAAGCATATTTAGCATATTTTTTAAAAGAGGTATATATGTGTGCGCTTGTGTGCGATTGCGCATAAATACTGAAAGTTATAATTTTGAATTAAAATTTAACGTTTGTCCGCAGAGATGTTTATACGTATATCTGTAGCTAATCAAAAGCGATATTTACGTGAAATACTGATAGTTTAAATTGATTAGCTTATACTTCTTATATATAACAACAACACATACTAGACTTTCCATGAGTCAGAAATAATCCGTTGAAAGGATAAGACTGAGCAATCAAATTGTGAAAGCAGAAGATTATCCACAAGTAAGTGATCATGAATCGTAATATTTTCTCTTAACCTTTAACTATGCATTATAGATTTGTTTGAATGTACACACTCGTATATTTTAGTTCTGTATTATTCCGCTTTGTTGCCACTCTCTTTATATTTATAAAGTTTATCTTACTGAAAGAAGAAATTGCTTAAATTATGTAAAAAGATGTATGACCCATATGTAAATTATAAGTGATAATGTTATAGCGAAAAAAATTTTATTATGTAGAATAGGCGAGATTTCCCGCGGGAGTTTTATTTTATTTTCATATTATTAAGCTATAGGAAAAGAAATCGCAATAATATCAACGGTTATATATAATATCGGTAATATGAAAATAAAAGGAAACTCCTTGGCTTCTCTTGGCTCGTTGATAATTGTATATATACTTTTGACTATAAACATATTCTGCCGCTTCTGTAAAAGTTATTGTACTATATCTTTCTATTTCTTTTTCCCCTTTCGCCATAATGAAAAGGACAAACTATATAATGACTTCTTGACTTTATACTTATTAATACATTGTTTTCCTATCTAACATGTAAATTACTTTGGTAGATATATTCCAAACGATAATGTGTACAACATGCTTAAAACAAATATTGTATGTTGTTTTGATACTTAACATCGCCATGGCTATCAAAACAGATGTGGATTATGGAAACTGTGAAAATGTATCATCTGATGAACATATACCGGTTACAATAATAGAGCCAATATATTATAGACTTTATCTCCACTTATTGAATCCATTTATTGAATCTGAAATGTATGGCGAATCAAACATCGTAATCCACGTTCACAAACCAACCATAAAATTAAGCCTGCATTGTTTTGGATTAGATATACATCAAGATAATATATCGTTATATTCGATAACAAAATATTATCCATCGTCTTATCGTTTTTGTACTAAAACACAGATCCTCGACATGTTTTTTAAAGAGACAATACTTCCTGGTAGATATAACCTAAATATATTTTTCGTCTGTTCGTATCACAAGAAACCTGGAAATATTATTAGATATCATTATATGACATATGCAGCTGAAACAACTAAAAGGTAAGGGAATATTTAAATTTCGTATATGTGCAACCAGTTTATAGAAGAAATGCTTTCGATATCCTATATTTTAATATTATCACTGTTATATGTTACAAGAATTCTATTATTTATATTAGGTTGCAAAATGGCTTAGATATAGGAAAGTTAGGAATTCACAAAACTATCAAAATTTAGATTTACTAACGACAGATTTGCACAATAATACTAACAATAATATTTATAATATAATTAAGAGCAATAAATAATAATAATAAATAATAAGTTTTATTGATAAGTAATAATGTAATAATAATAACAATAAAAGTAATAAGTAATAATAATAAGTAATAATGATAAAAAAATATAAATTATAACATAATTATTGAGCCTATACACTCACTCACACATATAGATGCGCGCGCCCACGCATGTACGCACGCATGTACACACACCCCTCATTTAAATTAAAACTAGTATAAAATATATTTTGTACAAATAGAGTAACATATAATGTATATATAAAAATGTCTGTTACATAATTTTAACATATTTGACTAAAATATATTAAAAATCTTAACTACATATTATTGTAAAAACGCACAACATGCATTACAAAATAGGACACAGATATTCCTTACTATATTACTAAAAACAAGGGAAAAAATCGATAAAATTTGCCAAATAACTTTAAAGTTTTCTCTTTTCAAATATAAAGTTTAACTATCTGAATAGACACACACACTGTTAACAAATTCCAAGTACAATATATTATGAAAATAACTATATGCTGAAATATCCTCGTAAGATATTGATGTAAAACATTTTCATTTATGTAAAAGAAAGAATTGAAAAAATAGCAAACATACATGAAACATTCTTTTAGACCTTGCTTGTGTGTGGCTTTAGTTTGCAAGATAATTTAACAGAAATTTATTTGACTTTAGGACTTTAGATAAGCTATTCATAGTGCTGCAATGTTTCCTGCTGATTTTCATGACGAACATAGTTATATTCAACTTGTTATTTAAATATTTAATATTGCGAGGCAAACTGACGAATTTATTTTGTACAAAAACTGAAATTGATTTATCTTTACTGAAGTAATGTTTTGCGTTAGGTGGTTTTTTGGAATATTGTCGGCATCGAATCGTGCTCGAATAATATTTCCATGTTGGGACGAGCCGGAAATATACATGCAACATGAGATTATTATCAGGCATGCTGAACAATACCAAGTTATATCGAATACGCCAGTGAAGAAGTTGTTAAATGAACCAAATAATATGTCACTAACATTTTTCCATACTACTAAACCTATAGTTTCAAGTCAAGTGGCAGTCATACTGTTTAATAATATGATACAACGTAGATGGTACGAGGAATATTTCTGGCATCATATGGTGGAAGAAAGGAACATTTTTCGTGAAATTTGGGATATGAAACTTTTTTTGGCAAATTATCTAAAAGTCCGTGATAGAATTATGAAAACAGATCACTTCGTGATTCCAAATCTTCCATACCAGGTTGCAGGAAGTTTAGGAGTTATTACATACAGGTATATAATTCGCGTGCAGCTAATGTTATTATATAATTTGCTGAAATTTTCTACATTAAAAAATTTTATAGTGATGAGTCCCCTGTTATTCAAAAGAATATTACAATATTAAACGGCAGAATATATAACAACAATTCACCTTTTAATGAGACAAAATATTTGTTGAAAACAGTGAAATTCAGGAAGACATTTTTTTCCTAAAATTGCGCTACATTAAACATATATTTCATACAATGATATTATATTTATCTTGCAGAGAAGAAAGCATTAAATACAACAAAAGTATTGATTTTCCTGGTCGTGAAATTAATATCTTTAAGATGGTAGGCGAAGCATTGGCGCGGGAAGTTCTCGTTGAAGTAATATGCGCTTCGTATTATACGCTAATTAAGATATTTGCATCCTTCTTCAGTCATTTTGTTATTTTCCAGGTAAGTCTATATTCTTAGCATTACTAAAATGTATTTACGTTTCTATAGGTTACATTTCACCTTTCTATATTGTTAATTCGTACGTAGTTTTTTATATTATATTAAATGATGGCAATAATAATTACTTCTAGGACTCAATTTACTTGTCGTTTATGGATCTCTCCATCGTTCAAACTGTGCAGGGTGCTTTATATTATGACGTCGATTTCCAAATGGCACCTGTGTCACAGAATAAGTTCTTATTCCCCATTGATGAAATTGATGCAATTCATTACTCTCGACTGTATTATAATAAAGGTAGGATGTAATAAATTCATGTAAATAACCTTGCATAACCTACATAATTAAAGCACTAAAACAAAACTGATTTCATTAAAACTTAATCTGGAACATTTGAACATTTCATATACAGGATGTCTGACTCATACTGTACCAGAGCTAATATATAGCTACAATAGGTCGGGATGAGTAATGGAATCGATGCCTTTTTTTAAACTACCACGTAAAATTTCGAGTTATTAAATAAAATAGATGGGCTAATCACAGCGCACGACGCGGCAAGCGGGACATACGGCTCTTCGCGGCCGGCAAAGAAATTGGACGATTGCTCGCGGGATTTTCACACAGTGTCAGATCTAAGACGTAGTCCTCCGCTCTGGGCCTATGAGATAGACCCGCGAGCAATGGTTCATTTTTTTCGCCGGCTGCGGTAAGTCATATGTCCTGCCTGCCACGTCGCGGGCTCTCATTAGCCCATCTATTTTATTTAATAAATCGAAATTTTACGTTGTTTAAAAAATGATGCAGATTCCATTACTCAGCCAGACCTATTCTTGCTGTATATTAGCTCTAGGTTGCATTCCAAAACGTTCTTTTTGAGGAAAATTTTATTCAATAATTATAGTTCACGTTACATATACTATAGAGTACCGAGTAAAATTTCCTCAAAAAGGACGTTTTGGAGCGCAACCCTAGTATGATATGAGACACCCTATAGATTTTACAAAAGGATAACATGTTTTTTAATGTAGAAAGCGTGTTTAAAATTAAATTATGTCATATTATTAGTTAAAAGTAAACTATGTCATACTATTTGTTAAAAGAGAACTATGTCATACTATTACATTGTCATTTTGTCTTCATCATTAATTAGTATCATTAATTATGTAATTTATAAGGAATATATATATTAACTTCTATATACTACGCTTCTTTCTTATTTCGATTCATCGCAGTGGGTGTAATACTTCAAATTACTTTATAAATATTTCTTCGAAACAGAGGTATTTCTTAACATATTTGTTTTTAATTAAAACGCGAATGTCAGGAATACACTAGTAATAAATTGCTTATGACTGAGGTATTATAAAAACATTTAATTTTGAAAAATGGACTAAAAATTTTGTTAATCACGAAACAGCTAATTGTTTGAAAATTTATGATTTTTTTTGTTATACTGTATCATAAAATATCAATTACTATTGATTGAAAGTGAAGTATCTAACTTTCTGGAAAAACATTATTTTTAACGATAATTTTTAAAAAATATATTGTTTTAATGTGAGGAATGTTACCGTCGAAACTGATTTCATTGGTATTTAAAAAATCTGCTAAATACATAGGGCTGCGCAGTTGAAGCGGGAAAACTAAAATTTTCCATGTCCATTCTCAACACCCACGAATTTTTTATTATATAAAGACTACAGTTGTTTCAATAATAGCATGTATATGCTACACCCAAGTGTGGTACTAAAGTGGTTAATTTTAAGTTAATTTATTTTGTTTTATTTATATATTATTGTAGGTGCTGCTTTAATGCGCATGTTTCTGTATTCTCTTGAAAAGCCGGAATATTTTGATCTATATATTTCGAAATTGGTGAATGAATGGTGAGTGATGCATGGTAACGCGATAATAATGATTAATATATTCCAGAAAAATACGCGAATGTCAAATCATGTCTTAATAACATTTTGTTTATGACATTTTGATTAAAAAATATTTTAAATCACGATGCAAGATATCTTAAGATCCTTCTAATAAGTTTGTAAAACATCTTCGGAATTTTAAGATTTCTTTCAGGTGTCTAAAACGTCATATATATGTCATTAGATATATTAGGGTTCCCCAAATTGCAATACAACTTTAACTGGTTTACTAATGACGTATAATTGATTTTAAAGATATCAGTAATGCGTTATTGAAATGTTGTTATGTTTGCTCTGAGATAATATATTAATAAATTGACGTAAATTAGGGCAGTAATTTTCATCCAGATTTTAACCAATACAACATTCACGAGTGGCCATTAAAGTCAGTTTTTATTTGTTTAGTGAGGATACTTTAACTTTCAAAGACCTCTGGACTATTATGTCCAGCGTTTTAACAGAAGACGAGGAATTAGACGACAACATAACCGAAATGATGTACACATGGATAACACAAAGGCATTTTCCCGAGGTGAAAGTTTATCGCAATTATACGCATAATTACGCAATACTTTCAGCATATAATTGCAACGAAATAAAGAGGAAGATACCCATAATTTATACCACGATATCAGATTTTACTTACGTGTACGGTGAATCTAAAATAATTTTATTTGACTGTTCAAAATTCAAAAAAAATGAAGTATATGTGCATAAACTTGATGTTTTTGATATCATAATAGTCAATGTCAAACAAGTGGGTAAGTATTTATTGCCGAATATCCGTGACCTAAAGCTTACTTTAGATTAAGTAACGTTTTATATTTTATGGTATACTTAAATCTTCAAATTTTATTCTTGTTACTCCCTATCAAGAAATAGGGAAACTGACAATTAAGTAGAATTCTTTTCAATTGAAGTAGAAATAATTTCTCAGTAAATATGAATAAAGATACATGACAGCTTAACTATTGCTTTTAACTGTAGGATATTATCGCGTCAATTATGATTCACAAACTTGGCAAAGGATCGTAACACTCTTAAACTACAATAATTTTACACTAATTGATGTTGTGAATCGCGCTCAGTTAATTGATGATGCGTATTATTTTGTGATGAATGATAAACTCGAGGTTTCTACGTTCACACATCTAATTAAATATTTAAAGAGAGAAAGGCATTATGTAGCTTGGTATCCTATGTTCAATATTTTAATGTATATGTCGAAATACTTTGAATTACCAGAAAGTGCGCGTTTCAAGGCAAGTAGTAAAACATTATTTTGTATATAACATAAACATTATTTTTGTATATAAGTCAACGAATACTTTATGTGCATTCTTATTTGGAGATGTCGAGTGGTTTAGGGATATAATATGTTATTTAAATAATATATAATAAATAAGAAACAATTTCTCTGTATACGTTCGATGCATCTACATATGTTATCTCTTTACGAATAGTATTCAAATTAAAATTCATGTTTCCTTACATGCAGTCATTCGTGTTAGAAATCTTGGATAGTCTTCTTCAGAAAGTTGGGTACGATGAACTTACCGAGGATAATGATATGACAAAGTCTTTAAGATTATTAGGATTAAAATGGGCTTGCAAATTAGGTCATACAGTATGCAAGACAACTGCCACCTCTAAACTGTCTCTTTCTCTCCAAAATTCTTTTACGTATGTATAATTCACTATACATAACTAGTAATGATTATAAACATATTGTTCTACATCTCACATATTAGATTACAATATTTAGAGAACATACGATTTTAAGTGAAGAACTTTTGTCAGGAGTTTATATCTTTGATATATGTTACAGAATTCTACCATGGTGGAAGGAATGGGTATATTGTGCAGGTATGATGGAGGCAGATCCAAACGTGGGTTTTAAGGTTTTTTTTGTAGATGACGGCATGTTTGATCAGAAGCTGTTAATGTACTTGACATGTTCCGAGAACGAACATATACTCGTTGCTTATTTGGATAATTTGTGGAGCTTACAATTAGAAAACTTAAAGTTAACGTACTGTCTAGATCTAGTAGAGGGATATGAGATGATTATTGCTGCTTATCGTTCTTTTGTAAAGAAGCATGCAAGGAAGAATGCTGTGTTGAAGCACATCTTAGAAAATTATGATAAATTACCGTCAACGTAATACTTTTAAATATCTATGCTGAGATTATGATCAAATTAGTGAATTCTGTATTAGTAAATTTTATATTAATTAATGTGACCTGTTGTTTCCATAGTATTTTGGGCAGTAAGTCTCCAGTAACAGTGTTAGGTATTACTATTCTGGAATTATATTCCGAGGATAATTTTAAACAGGTAAAATTCTTGATTCTATATTCCATAGTTATTTCTTTTCAGTATTTGAATAGTTTATTTTCTAATTAATTCTAATTATTTTTTCACATCAATCTATTGTGATTTTATATAATCCATGTACATTGAAATTGTTTTCTTTAGATAACAGCATTTGTAAAATCACCCCGGAATTTCACAATGGAGGAAAAGAGTATAATTGAAATTTTCGTTAAACGTAGGAAGATAGAGTTAGAGAGAATATCTCACAATTTCCGCATGTTTTGAAACAGAAGGAATTGATTCTTTTTCATAATTAATTGAGTCAACAAATAAATTCGGACTCATCGACGAATTGAAGCAATTGTAATAATGATCCAATAACCGATATTATATATAAGCATTTAATATAATCATCTGATATTATTAATAATATTAAATATAATCTAGTAATGGATCTTATATTTAATATAATAATAAAGATGTTTCCATGCTTTTATTATAGTGACTCAATATAATAAATTATATATAGTAAATAATTGCTTGATGATTCATGTTCATATTTTGTTCTCCTCTATAGAAAACATGTAACCGTTGATATTTTTTCGATCTTTTTTCCTATATGTCAATAATATGAAAAAAAATTTCTGCCTTGGCTTTGATAAACATTATATAGCTTTGATAATACGTTGATAAATGTATATATACTCCTGACTATAAACATATTCTGCCGTTTCTGTAAAAGATATCATATTTTTCCATTTCTTTTCTCCCCTTCACTATAATCGAGAAGACTAATTGTACAATGATAAAACTGTACAATGATAACCGTATATTGACTTTCTCAATTTGCACTTATTTGCATATTGTTTTCTTATATAGTATGTAAATTACTTTCGCAGATATATTCCAAACGATGATGTGCACGATATGCTTCACACAAGTATTGTATATTGCTGTGATACTTAACATCGTCATCATTGGTATCAAAACAGATGTGGATCATGGAAACTGTGAAAACGCTTTGTCTGATAAACTTTTATCGTTTACAAAAGTAGAGCCACTACGTTATACACTTTTCCTCGATTTAATTATGAAATCCGGAAAATATGACGGAGAATCTAACATCGTAATCAATGTTCACAAACCAATCGTGAGAATAAGCCTGCGTTGTTTTGGATTGAATATATATATATGCGTAGAACATCGTTACGTTTGATAAGTGGAGTTTCAAATTCGATTGAAAATTATGTTCCGTCAGCTTACCGTTTTTGTACTGAAACACAGATCTTCGACATATTTTTTGGTGAGATAATATCTCCTGGAATATATAACCTACATATATATTTTAACAATATGTACAACAAGTATGAAAATATTATCGGATATCAATATATATCATATATAAAAGCTAAGGTAACTAATAGGTGAGTGAACTCTTTAATTTCGTGTATGCACAATTAGTTTATAGAAGAAATATTTCCAATATATTATATCTTAGAATATTATCACTGTTATATGGTACAAGATTTCTGTTACATATATTAGATTACAAAACGGTTTTGACACAAGAAAATAGGAACTCACAAAACTATCAAAATTTAGATTCACTAATAACAAATTTGCACAATAATAATGTAACTAATAATATATTTAAAATTAATAAATAATGATAAATAATAATAATTGAAAATAGTAATTTATAACATAATTATTAAGCAAGCCTGTACAATCTCTCACTCATATAAACGCACAAACATTATTTAACTGAAACTGTTATAAAATATATTTTCTGCAAATAGTAATATGATGTGTATATAAAAATATCTATAAACTAATTTCAACATATGTGATAAAAATGTAGTAAAAATTACAACAATTATAAACAAAAATTATTACAAATGAATATAAAAACGCACAACATACATAACAAGAAACAGATAACTAATTGATGAAATTATTTCGTGTCTCTTCTTCTTTTTTTTTTTTCTTGTATATTAGACTTAGAGCCTGCTTATTCAGAATTGGAGGTTTCCCACGATGTTGATACTTTGGGCGTGGAGCTTGCCATCCCGCGCCCTTCTTATTATTCTGTTCTCTGTCATCCTGGACACGTCCAGTCTCTTCATCTTTGTCTAACCTATCTGCTTTAGCTTGTGTCTTATATTGCTCCCTGATTTGTGAGTTGTATGCTTTATTTCTCAGAGTCTTGTTATCATTCTTAGTACTTTCATTTCTATGGTTCTTAACATGGTCTTAGTTTTGTGAGTGCCCGATCTGGTTTCGGCAGCATATATGATATGTTAAAATAAAGGAAACATATATGATATGTTAAAATAAAGGAAACTATTCTTGATACTATCTTTTGAAAATAATTAAAAGCGCATGTACTTGTACTGCTTATTATATTTCTATATACATCATGTACAAAAATTATGTACTATTTATAAACAAATATTTTTTAATAACTTTTTATAGGTCTTACGCAGGTTATACTCTGATCTTCGTCTCGCGTCCCATATGTTTGTTTTCCCAGCATTCTATATTTTCCCATATTAAGCATCTCGATGTTCTTGAACTTTTTAACAAACAATAAGTGATGCATAAAACTTTCGAAATATTACTCAGAGATATATCCTTGATACTATATGTCAAGGAGCAGCTTATCGGAAGTGGGTCCCCTAATGTAAATAATTACCAAATTTTTTACACAAATCAGAATGATAAAATTTATCTGTAAACAGCTAGTTCCAAATGACTTCCGACTGACTTTGATGTTGAGGTAATTATTTGGAGTTGGATGTATTCAGGTAAATTTTATCATACATTCTAATTTGTGTAAAAAATTTTTTAATTTTTCCGCGTAAGACGTAGAGTTTTCGTAGAAATTTTCAGAAAATAAAAGGACATTTAACATATTTTTCAATAGAAATGTATATGTGCGCGCGTATGTAAGTTTGCGTAAATTTTGAAAAGTTATAACTTTTAATCCAAATTTAACGTTTGTTCGCAGAAGTGTTTATACCTATATCTGTAGCTAATCACAAGCAATATTTATGTGAGATACTGATAGTTTCAATTATTTAGCTCATACTTCTTATATATAATAACACGTATTAGAGTTACCATGAGTCAGAAATGAGACGTCGAAAAGGTAAGAGTAAACACACACAATCGTAAATACACAGAGAATTATCCAAGTAAGAAAATCTGAATAACATTTTCTCTTAAATATTAACTATATATTACTGATTTTCTTCTATGTACACACTCGTATACTTTAGTTCTGTAACATGCCGTTTCTAACGACCGCTTTGCATTACGTATACAATTGTGCAACACTTTAATTTTTCTCTGTTTTTCGCGGTATATCATTTATTGCGTTGCCAACAATACATCATGTATTTTCAGGATATTCACAAACGAATTTGTGTTTATATATTTTGCAGTTCTAACTATTTAAGGTGCTGTTGCTTTACATTTTACTGAGTTCCATGTTTTTAGTCTCTCCGCATAGCAAAGTCCTGCATGTTATATGTCCGTTATAATCGCTTAGTATTCTCTTTATTTTTATAAAGTTTATATTATTAGAGAAAAGTTCTTTTTAGGTGAAAAAATATGCAACCCATATACGTGATGATTATATAGCGAAAAGAATATTATTATGTAGAATTATGTATAGAACTTTAGATTCTCCTCCCTTCCCTGAAAGATGTTATCCTCCATAGAGAACATATAACTGTTGATATTGTTTCGATCTCTTTTCTTATATGTTAATAATATGAAAATAAGAGGAAACTTCTGCTTTGGCTTGTAGATAAATGTATACATACTTCTAACTATAAACATATTATGCCGTTTCTGTAATAGATATGGTATTACATCTTTCAATTTCTCCTCTACTTCCCGCCATAATGGAAAAGAAAAACTGTGTAATTACTTCCTTAATGTGTATTTATCTGCATATCGTTTCCTTATCTAGCATGTAAATTACTTTGGCAGATATATTCCAAACGATAATGTGTACGATATGCTTCAAACAAGTATTGTATACCGTTTTGATGCTTAACATCGCCATGGCTATCAAAACAGATGTAGACCACGGAAATTGTGAAAACGCTACATCTGATGAACATTTATCAATTACAATAATAGAGCCAATATATTATAAACTTTTTTTCAAATTAAATATGGATTCTGAAAATTACAACGGGGAATCCGACATTGTCATCAACATTCACAAACCAATCAAAAGATTAAGTCTGCATTGTTTTGGACCGTATATATATACATCAAGCATATCGTTAAAGTCGATAACTCAAACTTCAAATCAGAGTATACAACATACTCGTTATGCATCTTATCGTGTTTGTACTAAAACACAGCGGTTCGACATATTATATGATGATTTAATATCTCCTGGATTATACGAGCTACATATACATTTTTCCAATAAGCATGAAAACATTATTAGATATCAATATATAAGATATACAGAAACTGAGGCAACTAAAAGGTAAATGAGCTTTTTAATGTGATGTATGCACACCTAGTTACAAGAAAATATATGTTAGACGTACTATATTTTACAATATTATCATCGTTATGTTCTACAAGATTCTTATTATAATTTAGAATTTACAGTATTATAGTTTTATATAGTAGGTTGCGGAACAGTCTAGATACAAGAAAGTTAATAACACACACAACTGTCAAAATTTAGGCTCAATATTTACATAGTAATAATATAATCAAAACTAATATATAATAATATATGTTAAAATGATTAAAAATACTAATTCATTACATAATTATTATATTAACTTGTACACTCACCCACACACACATGCATACACAAATGCTCACACTCTTCCCTTTCCTCTTTTTTTCTCGAGACACACAACGTTCAAATTAAAACTGATATAAAGGTGGAATTTTTTTCAAGTTAGTATTTTATGCAAATAGTAAAATGATAAGAATAAAAAAAATGCTGATAATTTAATTTCAACATATGTGATAAAAATGTATTAAAAATTCTGACAAAAAATATTATAAAATCGCACAAAATACGTAACAGAAAAAAAGACACAGAAAATCCTTATTACATTACCAAAAGCAGGAAGGAAATTGATAAAAGTCGTCAAGTAATTTTAATTATATCTTTCTTTTATTTACAATGGGCGCATTCAGTAGAAAAAGCGCTCAGTGAGCAATCAACGATTATTGGTTCTTGCTATTAGATCCCTAAATCTAGACCAATTACATTGACAAATTACTCAACTGTTGTGCAACTGTTGAGTCTGCTGAATGCAGCCAATGATAAAAATACAAAGTTTAATAATTTGAATAAACTTTAAAATTAATAAATTAATAAATTTCAAAAAAATTTATCAAGAGAGAATTGATGTTAAACTTTGTATCAGGATTGAAAAACTTTTAGTAAATATATAAGAAAAATGCTTTTTTTTATGGCTTTATTTTGGGAAGGTATTTTAACCAAATTTTTTGGACGTGAGTCCTTCGGATAAGCTACTTAGAGTGCTGTGATATTTCCTGCTGTTTTTCATATCAATCTAAATAATGTTCAATCTGTCAGTTATATCTTAATGTCGTGCCGCTCTCGTGTCGCTTGATTTTAAAGGAAACTTTTTATCCTCCGCAAAATTAAATGTAAATGTAACTGCAAATGTAAATGTCTTTTGCTAGGAGAAACATACTTTTTTCTTAGTTTATATGAAATAATAAACTTTGGGCACAAAGTAGTCATATAATTTTTGTATTTACTTTTTATTTTTTTAAAGAAATTTAAATTCTATTGTTCGGAAAGTATTACAATTTTTGTGTTACTCCGAACCAAATGACGCAAACGATAGAATATAATCATTGTATAAACTATATAATTATTAAAAAATGTTAATTACTATTAACATGAACGGTTCGTAATTTTACATAAATATTATTCCAAGATTCAGGCATAAATTCTAATTTAATAACAATTAACACCGTATATAGATAATAATTGATAAATTTTTATGCTAAAACTGAAATTGATTTATCATCGCTGATGTATTGCTTTGCGTTAGGTGGTTTCTTGGAATATTGTCGACGTCAAATCGTGCTCGAACATTATTTCCATGTTGGGACGAGCCGGAAATACACATGAATTATGAGATTATTATCGAACATCCTGAGCAGTATAAAGTTATATCGAATATGCCAGTGCAAAAGCTATTAAACAAATCAGATAATACCTTATTAACGTATTTCCATATTAGCAAACCTATAGCTTCAAGTCAAGTGGCAATCGTAATGGTTGATAACTTGACTCATATTAATTTGGGCGATGATTTGTATTGGTATCAACAGAATATAGTGAAAAATACGAACATTTCGTCGGAAATTTGGAACACGAAAGAACTTTTCAAAAATTACCTCGGAAATTACCATTATGGAATTATGGAAACCAATTACATCGTAATTCCGAATCTTCCATCTCAGGTTATAGGAAGTTTAGGAGTTATTATATACAGGTACATAATCAGAGTGCAGTTAATGTTATTGTGTAATCTGATACATGCCTCTGAGGTAAAATATTTTAGAGAAATGATTCCTCTGTTATTCGAAAAGAATATTATAATATTAATCGAAAGTATAGAAACCAAGTACACACCTTTTAATAAAACAAATAATTGTTGAAAACTGTAAAATTTATGAAGATATTTTCTTCCTGAAATTGCGCTAGAATAAACAATTATGAATATATGATGACAAGAATATATTTCAATGAATAATTTTATGTTTATTTTGTAGGGAAGAAAGCTTTAAGTACGATAATGCTACAGATTTTTCTGGTCGTAAAATGAATATCTACAAGATAGTAGGCGATTCATTAGCGCGGGAAGTCCTCGTCCAAATAATGTGCCCTTCTCATTTTTGGCTAATTAAGATACTTGCATCATTCTTAAGTTATTTTACCATTTTCCAGGTAATTCTACATTCTTAGCGTTGCCAAAATGCATTTAAGTTTCTGTAAGTTAGTCATTTCACACCTTTATATTGTAAAATTGTGTTGTACAGTTTTTTATTTATTATATTAACTCGACCGCAACAACATTCACTTGTAGTATGAACATGACTCGTCGATTATGGACCTTTCCATCGTTCAGACTATGCAGGGTGCTTTGTACTATGATATCGATTTCCAAATGGCACCTGTGTCACAGAACAAATTCGTGCATTCCATTGATGAAATTGATGCAATTCATTATTCTCGACCGTATTATAATAAAGGTAGAACGTAATGAACTCATATAAATGACTTTCTGTATACCATATAATGAAAGCACTGAAAAGAACTGATTTTTTTTATATAATTCAAGAAAATCTGAACACTTTAAATATAAAATTGATAGCGGATAAGATATTATTTAATGTAAAGAGTGCATTTAAAATGCAGTAAATTATGAGTTAAGAATACTACACTTAAGTATAGTACTCTACGATTAAATTAATTTATTCCGTTGTGCTTATAAATTATTACAGGAGCTGCTGTAATGCGCATGTTATTTTATTCTCTCGAAGCGCCGGAATATGTCTACAAGGAAATTATCCGGAAACTTGCGAAGAAATGGTGAGTGATGCATTATATAATGAGATAATAGTGCATCCTGATTAATTATTTAATATTCCACGAAAAAACGCGAATCCAAATATGTCTTAAATACATCTTGCTTAAGACATTTTGAAAGTGTTTCTAAGACGTCTTAAATTGCTACACAATATCCTTCTAATAATTTGGTAAGACATCTTCGGAATTTTAAGATTTCTTTCATATGTCATAAATGTATTATTTGATATATTTACCCTAAATTGTAATACGACATTAACTCAATTAATGACGTATAATTGACACTGAAGATGTCTATAATCCGTTATTAAAACTTTATCATGTCTGCTGGGACTATAATTTACGAAATCGACGTAAAATATGG